TTGTTTCCCCTAGCACCCCCTGGCATAACAAGGAATAACAGCCATAACTTGTTGGAGAGTAGACATCTGTAAGAACTACTTCACAGTTAGGGTGGCTAGGATCTGGAAGCAACTTCCAAGGGAGGTGGTGCTGGCTCCTACCCTGGGGGTCTTTAAGAGGAGGCTTGATGCCTACCTAGCTGGGATCATTTGAGTCCAATTTTTTCTCTTGCCCAGGCAGGGGGTTGGACTTGAAGATCTACAAGGTCCCTTCCGACCCTACTTCTATGATTCTATGATTCTATGATCACGGGGCCTGTGCTTGGAGATCCTGACCTACCAGCACTAGCTCAGTGACTACGGAGCTGGCACTGGGATATCAGGATCTTCCAGCACCAGCCCCATGACCACGGAGCTGTTGTTGGGAGCTCCCTGCTAGCAGGGACTGAGAAGTCTGTTCTCTACCCAGCTCCATGATCACAGAACTGAGTAGGGAACAGGCTCTCTAGCCTACACACTGTGATTGTGGAGTGGGGGCTGGGACCTGCCCCAGTCAGGGGCAGGTCCCAGCCCTATGCCCCAACTGGGTGATAGAGGTGGGGCAGGTCCCAGTCCTCTGCTCCGATCCACTAGTGGGGCAGCTAATAGCAAGTAATCCCCACCCAGCTCATTGCTAGCTGCCCCACTGGTGGATTGGGGCAGGGAGCTGGGACCTGCCCCTCCCCTGAAACTCTTTCCAAGTCTCCTGGTGGTGATCCATACCAGTTCCTGGGCTAGCACCCAGGGGAATCCTAGAGCTCCCCCTGGTGGCAGCAGGGGCCCATTAGAGGGCCCCAGGAAGCAGGAGCAGTTTGCTGCTATTAGCAGCAAATCTCCCACTTTCCTAGTGTGTGGACTCCTACCTGGGAACATTTACTCATGAATAAACTGCTCTCAGATCTAATGCACATGTAGACACACCCACAGAGTAGCTGCTACATGTGGGGAATGGTGAAGAGTTGTTTATTTTCATTTATTTTTCTCATCTAGGAATAAACTATGCAAATTAAACTGTAGCAGTAAATCTGATTTACCTATTACATTTGAGAGAGAAAAAGCCTTTTTTGTGCTGCTGGATTAGGTGGAGGAGAGAGACAGAATAGACATCTAACACTGGTCTGGAATAAGGAACTGACCCTTTATTGACCCCTTTAATGAAGATCACAGAAAGCCTTGTGACATGCTGGAAGCCCCAGGCAATGCACCAACACAGAGGTCAGGGTAGTGCCTGTAGGCATAGAGAAAGTTTGACAAGTGAGGGCCTAAAGAACCAATTCCAAGTGTTTTCTCTCCCATACAAAGACATGAGGAAAACTTAGCTGAATGATGCTGTCACTCACACAAGGGGATGGGTCTTTAGAGGAGGTTTTGCTGGAAAGGTTGGAAAGGAATCGACTTAGCAAGGGTACTGGGAGGATGGGAAAATGAAGGATGTTATAATGAGGCATTGTATTTTTGCACAAAGGAAGGCTGGGAAGGAATTTGAGATATTTGGAGAAGGAATGGACTCTGCAGAGTGGGGACAGAGCCCAAATATGGAGGTGGGATTAAACTGCACAATTCAAAGCCTGTATTACAGGCTGTTCCCCCACATCAGGGAACAATTGGATCTGAGATTAGTTCTCCAGCTCTCTCTCTCAGAAAGTAGCTGAAATCAGACAGTTTTTAGACCTACTTATACAATTTGTGGTGCTAGGCTGCCATCATGTGGTCATTCTGTTCGATTGTCTCAAAGCTAAAGTAAGTTCAAAGCTAAAGTTGGTGCCTGCTTGCACTGGTGCACAGCTATCCTGTCTTGCAAGGACTTTCAAATCTGACTTTGTCTTTCGTTGGTCTAAATTAGCCCCTTAAATTAATCACTTAATATTCAGTGGGTGGATCTACACATGTAATTAGCATGTAGCAATAAACTCCAGCGTAGTTTGTGCCAGAGTCAGCTGTCCCTGGGCATAGCATCTACATGTGCACCTGCCTACCGCAGCTGTTTGAGCTAGGGTGGAGCAGCCCCAGGCTGGCAGAGGGCATGGGAGTCAGCCCTGGGTTCCTAGTGGTGGCAGAGGACCGTGAAGAGGCTAGCTGGGGCACAAAGGGCTCATCCCCACCAGCAGGAACATGGGTTTCCCAAGGGACAAACAGCAGCAGCACTATGTGTGCTGCTGCTACTTGTCCCCCTGGAATGCCCATGCCAGGCACCCTCTGGTATGCAGCACATTGCCTCGGGTGGGGTAGGAGAGCCTGGGGCCAGCAACTGTGCTGACCCCAGCACCCTTACCTGGAGTGCTAGGGGCCTCTGGAAGCTGCAGCATGGTGATCCTGCAGCAGGGAGCCTGGGCAGGAGCCAGAGTGTGGCTTTAGCAAGCCAGGCTCTGGTTTTGGATGGCATGCACTGCCACCACATGTGCTGCCCTACTTTTTTAAGAATGGGTTTTTTTGACCCCAGGATCTCCTGGGGTCAAACCCCCTCCCCTGTGCTGCAACTTAGCAGTGCGGGGAACACCTGCATGTGCAGCATGTGCAGTGCCAACAGGTCTGTGGTGCTTGATACCACACATCCATGCTTGTCTGGACCCACCAAAGGTGCTACAGCACAGGGCTAGCTGGCAGGCAGCCCTTGCTCAGAAGCACTTTTGTGCCCTAGCCAGCCCCAGTCACTGTCTACACATGCTTTTCGGCACGCTAAGTGACTCTGCCATAGGATTATATTTGTTCCATTCGGTACTTTCTTACAGTGGAGTCAATTCATTTCCTGCAACCTAAAATGGGAACACATGTAGATGGTGTTTAATCAGCTACGCAGTAAGGTGCACCCAGTAGGTCATAATTAACCCCCTCAATTATTCTTTAGTCAGAAAGTCTGGTCTTTTAGCCCAGTTTCCCAAATGTTGCCCTTTTGTGCTTTCCTATCGAGTTTCTTTTTTGTAACATCCATAGGATCCAGGCTGTAAGAAGGGAAGTTGGGTTGCATGAATGAACTGTGAGGTAGATAGAAAGCTGGCTGGATTAGTAGTAATCAATGGCTCGATGTCTAACTGGCAGCCAGTATCAAATGAAGTGCCCCAGGGGTCCGTTTTGTTCAGTATCTTCATTAACAATCTGGAAGATGGGATGGATTATACCCTCAGCAAGTTCGCAGATGGCGCCTAGCTGGAGGGGTGTAGCACATAAAGTGGAGGGTAGGGATAGCGTTTGGAGTGACCTAGAAAAACTGGAGGATTGGACTAAAAGAAGTCTCATGAGGTTCAACAAGGACAAGTGCAAAGTCCACTTAGTGGACAATAAGCTGGATATGAGTCAGCAGTGTGCCCTTGTTGCCAAGAAAGCTAATAGCGTACTGGGCTGCATTAGTAGGAGCATTGCCAGCAGATCAAGGGAAATAATTATTCTGCTCTATTCTGCACTGGTGAGATCACATCTGGAGTATTGTGTCCGGTTTTGGGCCCCCCACTATAGAAAGGATGTGGAAAGTTGGAGACATTCCAGCAGAGGGCAACAAAAATGATTTGGGGGATGGAGGATGACTTCTGAGGAGAGGCTGAGTGAACTGGGTTTATTTATTCAGCAGAAGAGAAGACTGAGGGGGGATTTGATAGCAGCTTTTAACTACCTGAAGCGGGGTTCAAAAAAGGATGGAGCTAGACTGTTCTCAGTGGTGGCAGATGACAGAACAAGGAGCAATGATCTCAAGTTGCAGCAAGGGAAGTTTAGGTTAGATATTAGGAAGAACTTTCTCACTAGGAGGGTAGTAAAACATTGGAAAAAGTGACCTAGAGCAGTGGTGAAATCTCCATCCTTGGAGGTTTCCAAGACCTAGCTTGACAAAGCCCTGGCTAGGATGATCTAGTTGGGGCTGGTCCTGCTTTGAGCAGGGGGTTGGACTACATGACCTCCTGAGGTCTCTTCCAACCCTCATTTTCTGTGCTTCTAGGATTTTAAGTTCTGTTTGAATACAGTCATAAAGGCAGAACTCTCTATATTTTAAGTATTCCCTTACTGGCCCCTTTGACTCATGACTTCCAAACCAAGCTCTCTTCTTGCACATTCTATCATGTCAAGCTTTTCCCAATTTGCTAGGACATTTAATAGAGACTCATACACCATGGATCAGGTTCAACTCTGAGCACTTCCTGTGAGGTAGTAAGAACAACACCTGCTTTCCCCAGGATAGAATTTGGATCTATGAATGTCCTGTCATAGCCTTAATTTTATCTTTCTCCACTGGGTAGCCTTGATTTAACCTTTTGTCCTTTACCTAAACCCTGAGGTAGCCACAGGGACCCAGGACATTTTAAGAAAGGGAAGGCATGGGAGCAGTTAAACAAGGATACCAGGCAGATTTTGACCAACTCAGTGAAATAGTAGGTAAGGTCTAATGGGTAGACTGCCTAATGGGTAAGGGGACTCAGGAAGCTCAGGATGAGGTTTCAGAGGCTCAGGAAGAATCTATGGATGAGAGAGGTCAAAACAACATTTTCACATTTTGGGATAGTGAACAGAATGCAAGATGAGTTTTTCAAACATCCCAAGGAAAAGCAAGTTGTAGTGTCAACTTTATTTTAAGGTCTCCCCAGGACCTGGGTGTTTATTAAGGGGATAGTAATGGTGAGAGAGAGAAATGGACTACCAGAACGGAACCCCCCCCCCCCCCCCAA